CATAAAGATTGTGCTCCAAGATCTCCGATTTGATTCCTCTTGATATTCAGTGTGATGAGTGTCTAGATGAAATAGTAGAGGCAAAGACATAATATAGATAAAGAGAGAATGAGAGTTACTGTGTTGCGTCGTAATCCATCACCTAAAGATCGTGCTCCATCATCACCGAGTCGATTGCGACCGATATTTAGTGTGGTGAGCATCTAGGTGAAGTAGTAGACGTAAAGACATGTTATAGATAAAGAAAGAATGAGAGTTACTGTGTTATGTTGTAATTTGTCGCCCAAAGATCGTGCGCCAGCAGCTCTGATTCTATTATGTTCGAGATTTAATGTGGTGAGTGTCTAGATAAAGAAGTGGAGGTAAAGACATGGTATAGTTAAAGGGTAAATGAGAGTTACTTTGTTGTTTTTTAATCCATAACCTAAAAAGTGTGCTCCATCATCTCCGATTTGATTGCTCGAAAGATCTAGTGTGATGAGTGTCTAAATGGAAAAGTGGCGGTAAAGAGATGGTGTAGATAAAGAGACAATGAGAGCTACTGTGTTGCGTTGTAATGCATCACCTATGGATTGTGCTCCAAGGTCTCCGATTTGGTTCCATCTGAGATTTATTTTGGTTAGTGTCTGTATGAAAAAGTCGAGGTAAAGATATGGTATAGATAAAGAGGTAATGAGAGTTACTGTGTTGTGTTGTAATGTAACACCCAAAAATTGTGCTCTAACATCTCCGATTCGATTGCTATCGATGTCTAGTGTGGTGATTGTCTAGATAAAAAAGTGATGGTAAAGACACGGTACAGATGAAGAGAGAGAATAGTTGGTCGGTGTTACGTGAGGTTAGAAAAGTGAAATAAATCTGAGTCTGATCCCGTTTTTGAGGTCCTATGGGTATTAATATGAATACTTTAAGGATGTTATGTACTGCCTAGTATGGTGATGATGTGCTGTGAAAATCTGGAGTGAAAAGAAGTCACCAAGAGTGATGTAAAGACAGAAACGTTTTTTATATAAATTCCTGAAATCTATGAATGTTTCTGAAAGAGCGAAAAGTTTTTAGTTAATGAAAAATAGTTTGGAAGTCATTTATGATCAGAGCAATTATAAATCGCTATACTATGTACCCCTATGACAATGTTTTGCAGTAAGTGAATTTGTGCGTTGTCAAGTATGATGCAGCGCGTGTTAGTATTCCGTAAGTATGATGAATATGGTTTCTTTTTAATAGTTAGCGGACCGTTTTCGTTCATATTTATTGTTCAGACTCGTTGTGTGTTTCGTATCAGAACTCTGTGTGAGTATCGAATTGGTTCTTATTAATCCGTATGATTCATTTAAGTGAGAATATATATTGATTTCGATGCTAGCATACGATTGTGTTCAAGAAGCGACATTGATTTATAAAAAGTGAAAAGTCACACAATCAATCCCGTAATGTTAGATTTATTATTATAGAAGATAAATGCACGATGAAACGTCGTATAAAAAAGATTGCTGACGAATTATTCTCAAAATCTCATCGCTGAGAATGTGTGCTCGACATAAAATCCGTTTCGGAGGAATTATTTTGGAAAAAATTTGCTTTAGAAATAGTATTCTTTGAAGAAATATTCCACCTTGTTAGAATGAGTGTGATTGAACAAGAATGAGAGCATGACTATGACCCAATCTTGTCTCTAGTCACACCTACACTCATCCTCAAAAAACATCGAGGACATTATTTATAATACGATAAACTGTCTGATCGATTGTTAATTTCTTCCAAAAACTGATTTTAATTATGGAAATGGTATTTAAAATAACAGGTGCTTTGAAACACGTAAAAAACAAATAATAATGTTTCGTTTCTTTTTTTTCGTTCTTATATAAACATCGTATGTTTATGACATCGTACCTAGTTTGAAACGTGGAATATTTAAATGAAATTGAAAAGAAAGAAAAAAGGGACTTTATTTTTTTTGATTATCAGCACACAATATTCGTATTGTCATAATATAAGTGATGAGTTATTTTCATTGATGAATAGTTTATTTATGTATATTTTATTGGAGTTAATAGATAAATATGAAACTATCGTAATAGAAAAAAGCTTACCCGGTATAGATCGTAGGTGTCTAAGATCCTATTGAAACGTTCACACACGTTTCGCATTGAACGTATAATGGTCCAATACGATAGATAATCCAGAATTCGGTAGACAAGTTCTACCAGTAACATAAGAAAGCTGGCGACAGTTTGATTTGTCATTGTACACTTTTTTATGAAATGCGTATTGCGTAGCCTTATATACTGGTTATATGATATGCTATTACTTTTACTTCCGATTAAATGAGTGGATTTTTTTTTATCATTGCTTTCACGTAATGTTGCAATTACTTGTTGAAACAGAAATGAAAAATAATGATGTCAACTACAGAATAACAGAATTGCCATAACAACTGTACATAAAGTTTTTGCTACGATTGTTAAATTAATATACAATGATATATAATAGACATGAGTATTGTGTTGTCGGTAATAATCAGCAAAATTTGAATGAATTTATTTTTTATTTATTTTTATTCAAACAATATTGTCATTTGACCATAAAATCAAATATACATATTTCATCTTGAGGGTGTGGGTGTGGACGTAGAATAAGCACAATATCTACACCACACTGACACCCACACCCTCAAGCATCCTTCTGAAGTTACGTCGATTCACAATTATTCGATACCCCATTCAAACTGAAAATTGCAAAAGAAAAACTCATATTGTATACCTTCTTTTACAACGAAAAAACATATAGTTGGAAATTTTCACCGATAACTTGATGTTTCATCGTCGAAAAGTCTCTTATCAGTCATCAACAAAAACATGCAGTCATTTACATTCTTCAAGTGGTAATAAAGCAAAAGACGAGAAAATCGATAATGCGAGTAGTAAAAAGATAAATAACCGAAGAAACAGAAAGTAAAACCTTGTTTTGTGAGGGTTTGAGTGTGGGTATGAGTTTGGTGGGTGAGCGTGTGTTTGTGAAGGTGTGAGTATCAGAAGATTGTAATATCCACACCCACACCACCCACCCACACCCACACCACCCACCCACACCCACACCACCCACCCACACCCACACCCACATCCTATTTATTAAAAATAAATTTTAAAATCTATGAGTTACTGTAAAAATGTTTTATATACAATGCGGTGTCAAAATAAATAAATAATATAACAAAAATCTATTAAATCAAAAAATATAGGCAAAACGCATCCGCTAAATGACTTAAATAACATATTAAATAGGGACGTTATAAAGTTTATTCTAAATAACACGATTAATTGTTTTCAACTTTTATGAATCTTTATGTCTGAGTATTATTTCTTATGCTTAAGAAATATTCTTATGATAACTATACATTCTTCTACACACCTAATTATATCGCAAAAACAAACTATTGACATCTGTGATACGCTCACGAGAGTGTAAGTCGTTTATCCTGAAGATATTATTAAGTTTAATTACTATTTTCATGTGTCAATCGATCTAATAATCATTTTCAATAAATAAGAACAATATGCATTTTATCCCATGCTATTAAATAACGAGAATAAGATGTATGTGAACAATAATATCAGCACTATTACAATAAATAGTTCATCTATCACTCTTGTAAATGATTCAGCATTTATTATTACTATTTATTTATAATACAAATGAGAATTCGAATAAAAGTACATAATTATAAATCTACATTAAATCGATAATATTACTTTTAAATAAAAGACAAATCAATAAATATTTGATAAATAAAATGATTAATAAGTGTCACAGAATGAATAATCAATAGAATATAAAAGTATTATTCTTTTTCTGAAACAACAAAATAATTTCATTACAGAATAAAAAAGAAATCTTTCAATTGTTATTAATGTAATTTATTGAGTGTTGGTGCGTATGAATGTGGGTGACTGTTCTCAATCTTTCATACATCCTATCCTCCATTCGCAAATCCACACCCTACTATTTTGAACAAGTTGGTTTAAATGAAACTGATTCTATTTTTTAAAAGAACTTATTTTAGGTAAATCAGATTTGGCTATACAAAGGACAAGATATATTGAAATCAATTCTTTATAAAATCATTTTGAACAAATTGACAGACATATACGTTGATAAGTTTAAATTTTTTTTTTACGAGATTTATATTATTTGGTAATATAAATTTCATTTTAACATGTCTTTGTATTAAATTTTACTTCATTTATATCGACGTGAGAAATAAGTTAAAGTATACGATGAAAATAGTTGAGTACTATGTGCCCTCTCTTTTTTTTAATATTTTTCAAGTATTCTTTTGTTTTTCACCTATATATTTTTTTCTATATGTTCACTAATTGAATCGCTTAATTTATTTTTCATTTTATCTTTTAATGTTAAAAGCATTTATTTATATCTAGATATATGCAGACTCCTAATGAGTATTTTATTATTTTAATAAATAATGCAAAACATGTCAATAAGGAAAAATATCTTCCATTCATCTACATATCATTTTTCGAGAGCAGTGGCGATTAATGTTCCAATGGAAAGGTGTTTGCCAGTTTTATCTGTAGTGTGCGTTGAGCGATCATTTTTGTTACCAATCATAAAGTTGTCCAATTCTCATTCGAAATGGAATTACGCAGCTAGTTTTAAACATGTAGATTAATTTGTTTCCATTACATTTAAACTCTTCAAAGAGATTCTTCATCGTCAACTATCTTATTATTTTATTTTGCTGAAAAGATTAAATGAATTATATTGAAATTATCATAAATAATGCACCTAATATTATATTAAAAACTCTGGAAACGCTTTTCATCTCATTAAACTGATAGAAAAAAAATATAGAAAATAATGAGACGAACGACTAAAAGAAATATTTTTCTATTCATTTTATTATTACCAAATAAAATAATGGTCTACCAGTTAGGTAAGAATACGTAGCTTGTATTTTTTTTAAACAATAAATCTGAACAATGTCAAATGCAAGCAGTAATTCGAATGTACTTACAACTGGAACTGTACTAACATATGCTGGAACAAGTGTAAATGAAATTCCTCTGATTGGAAGATTCTGGATATATCTCATATCAAATTGTGCATCATTTATTTGTTCTCTATTATTTACTATTTAACAAGAATCTTCGAAGTGGACTTAATAACCATGCTTTCATAGTTGGTCTTATCATTAATCTTTTTGCACTGGTATTAGATATTCCACTGGTTTTATATTATCTGTATTACGGAACTGTTTGGATACAAGTACCATTTATTTGTCAACTTTGGAGATATATTGATGCAGTATCATATTCGGTAATACCTAAATTAGTTGCATGGGCTTCCTTTGAACGGCATATTCTGATTTTTAATGACCGACGATTTTTACGATCAAAGAATCGTATTTTATTTCATTACATACCTATAGGTATAATCAGTAGTTATCACATTATTCTCTATATGATAATAAACTTATTTGTACCTTGTCATAATATATTTAACTATACACAACATTTCTGTGGATATTCGAGTTGTGTATATCAAACTGCATATACTATTTACGAGCTGTTCGCAAATGGAGTACTCTCATCTGTCTGTATTGCTTTCTTCAGTATTACTCTGATTGTTCGGGCTGTCTATCGCAGATATCGTGTACGTCGACATGTAGATTGGCGCAAGCATAGAAAACTAATAATTCAACTTTTATTTGTTGCATCAATATTTTATATCTTTTATTTTCCTTTGATCATACTAGGTGTTTGGCGTTATATTATTGGTATAACGAACTTTGGTTCTCAAAATTATGTGTACGGAAGCTTTTTGTCTTATTATGTTAACTTTCTCTTTCCTTTTGGATGTATTGGTACAATACCTAAACTTAAAATAAAAATAAAAAAGATATTATTATGTTGCAAAATAAAACCAAATGCTGTTGCTCCACGTACAGTGAAAAATCAGCAACAACCAATTGATCAAAAACCTATTATAGCAAATACAGCTTTATAATCATGAATAAAACATGACAAATCAAAAACAGTATAAATGTCGTAAACCTCTTTTAACAAAATAAATTTTTGATAAAATAAAAACATTTACAAAAAAACACAAAAAAATCGAATTGTTTTTTACTGAATATATTCGCATAAGCTTTCTATCTATATTTATTAATAGAAGACTATAACGTGAGTACTCATATTTCCTTCTAGTAGAAAAACGAATCATCTAAAATGAAATACGTCAAGACCTAAATGATGCTATGTGTTGATTTTCTACAGGAGAAATATTTTAAAGGACAAGGGACGCTTGATACGTAAAACGGCTCTAACAGAAGAGGCATCATCTGATGTAAAAAGCATACATATAGATGTTACTTGAATGTGCAATATAGAATCTTGTATTCTCTTAATTTCAAAGTCTATGAGTACCATATACAATTAAGTACTTCTTTTCTTTCTTATTCATATACATATCGAATTGCTCTCTCAGAATATCCCAAGTTGATTATTAATCCTTGAATGATGTTTTTGTCTGATCTATACTAGATACTGATAGGGTCAAAGATACTCAGTGTGATCTTTTCAGATAAGAATATATTCATCTGAGTCCTCACCGATGAGTATATTCGCAGTTCGCGATACAGTTTTTTTGAAGAAAACTACAAACCTAGTTACTTCTTAAAGGCATCCCCCGAGTCAAAAAAAATTTTTTTCCAGAGCACTCTTGAGGGTGTGGGTGTGTGCCCTCCTTCTCTTGCTTCAAACCCACATCTTTTCGAAATTAAGCAACCCCGACACAGTTTATGTACTTGCAAATAATATCATTTAAAATTGATTATTTTACTTGATAAAAATCACCTTGATATTTAACTTATATCATTTATACAGCAGTTTTGTTTTTTAATTTCATATTGGTAATTTTATATAAATCTCAATAGTTTCACATATATTCATTTAATAATATCATAGAGATATACGAGAATACAAGATCGAAACAAATAAAATGTTAAAGAAAGAGTTCTGAAAATTTGTATTTGATGTCAAATTAATAATCCATACCGCATTCGAAGCAAGCAATCTCTTCGAGAACACAACAAAAGCAAGATGTGGGTGTGGGCGTGAATAAGGATAAAAAGGATACTCATACCATCACTCACATCGACACCCACACACTTTCCTGAATACTGGTATAGTGCATCATATGCAACAAAAAAGATTCGCATGCATTAAAATGTAATTACTATAAAAAAAGATGTTTAATTTGCGTCAATCAACGAATGCTCATCCAGCATATATATCATAATGTAGGAATCGCGTTTGTCGTGTATATTAATGGAATCTATATATTTAAATAATACAGATGAATAATCTTGCTTATAATTATATACGAAAGAAAAAGAAAAAGAAAAACTCATTTCATTTGGTTAAAAGTAAAATGTCGACAACAATTGTTCCAGTATTTGGATATCTTGGAAATCAAATAACAATCTATTTGAGCACAGTGTCTCTTATTGCTGGTGTGATTGGTGGACTTCTCAATATTATTATTTTTCTTAGTCTATGAATCTTTAGAGAAAGTTCATGTGCATTTTATTTAACTATCATGTCAATTTTTAACATTGGTCAAATGTTTATAGGTTTACTTCCTTTTATACTAAATAATGGTTTCAATGTCGAATTGTCACAATCACCATTATTTTATTGTAAATTTCGATATTATGCGTATCAAGTATGTGCATTAATATCAATGACTTGCATCTGTTTGGCAACGATCGATCAATATTTTGCTACATGCTCACATCAACGATGGCAACAATGGTGTAATATTAAGTTAGCTCGTCATTTAGTGACAATATTTGTTTTTATTTGGTTTGTTCACAACATTCCATATCTTATCTATTACGATTATGTTGTATCAACTGTCACAGGTAAAACAACCTGCGTTATTACAAGTAAAATCTTTCAACAGTATGCCACTTATGGTGTAATTCTTATTCTTGGAAAACTTTTGCCTATTTGTATTGCATTCTTCTTTGGATTTTTGACTTATCGTAATGTACAAGAAATCTCTTATCGAACATTACCTTTCGTTAGACGTGAATTGGACAAACAATTAACAGTAATGGTTTTAGTAGTTGTTGTTTTCGCTTTCTTTACTGTGATGCCATATGCTTTTGTATACATGTTATTACAAATGCCAAGCTTTACTACGGATCCATTTACTGCAGCACAACTACAATTTGCCTCTACTCTGACTTTAGCCATACTCTATATGTATTTTGCAGTAAGTGTTACTTGATTAGGATTCTCTGATAAATGAAGTTATTTTTCTATATAGAGTCCATTCTACATATTTTTGTGTGTATCTGATCGATTTCGTCGGCAGTTGATCTATGTATTGTTTAAAATTCACTTCAATCGATGGCAACAAAATCGAAGAATTCTGGTCAATCGAGTCATACCACAGACCTGATAAACATCAAACAATTATCTCGATCCTTTATAGTTACTTTTAAAGATTCTTTGAAATGTTATTATGTAATTGTGACACGGGGGAACAAGCCGACTTCTGTACTTCTGCGTACTTTTTGGTACTTCGGAAGTACAAAAGTGCGCTTGTTTCCCCTTGAATTGTGATTTATATTGCTTGAGAATTTCCCTATTTATAATATATATATATATCTTTAGACATGCATGTTCAATTAAAACATATCCGGCGAATATATTAACTCTCTATATTGTCATGAAAAGACTTTGTACCATTAATGTATTCTATAAAGCAACTTATATAGTTGTTGAAATAGACGAAGCAGAAATGAATTGAGATAGATGTATCAACCATGTTGCCTTTCTTTTTAATAGAACTGTCGGTTCAAAAATGGTTTCTTGTTTTCTACTATTTTTTTTATTGATTTTTCTGCAAGATTTATTATTTGATATTATATTAGATAGGCGTACAATTACCTCTAATAGTTAATATTTTATCTAATGATTCTTGATGGTGTGGCTGTGAGTGTTGTATGCAGCTATACAAATACTCAGATACATCCACGACTATTCATTATTAATAATGGAATATTTTAATTTTCTTTTTAATGGGAAAAAAATCAAGAGGATTTTTTTCTGTTGAGTTATTCTGAGATGAAAGGATTAACTTCTATGAATAATAAAATATGAGATACCAATAAATATTGAAAAGATAAAATTGAAAGAAATATTTATATTATGATTTAAAATCTAAATTTATTATTGTCAACATATTTAAAGAAATTATATGATTTTGAACTACATTATCATGTTGATTCATCAATTAAATCGATAAGAATTGTTTCAAATATTTTAAACAGTTTTTGTTAGTTCCTCACTATCAGAAGGATTGTTTATCTATGTTCTAGAATATTTTTCAATTTAGATTAATGATTTAAAAACAAACAAAAGTAGATGAATCAATTGATAATTTAAACATAAATCTACAAATCAATTTCTAGTAGAGGAATTCTGAATGATAAGTTAATTATTTTTTTTGTAGAATTACATATAATTGTTAGAAATCATTTCCCATCGAAAATACTTTATTCTCTGATAACCAAATTGCTGCTACAATATTATTGATGATGTTATATAGTATTGAACAAATAAGTTATTTTTGTTTTAAATATCGCTTTTCAAAAGTATAATGCTGATTTAATTCGAATCTACTCTTCACTTGTTTATTGAACATTCATATAATCTATTCGTCACAATAACTCATTTAAACTTACACTTTTCTTTTTAGAAATTCTAATACGATTATATCGCGTAACAAATTGAAATATAATAAAATACTTTATAAGATAATACAGAAATGATTTTATTAAATCACGAATATTACATTTATCTTTTATAATTATCAAAATCAATTGAATTAAACTATAAGATTGTTTCAGAAAATATAATTATTGATCATGGAATTGAAAAACTTGATGTTGCTGTTGTTGTTGTATATAGGAAATTAGATAAATATATTTATACAACATTAAATCGATAGTTTAATTTATGAGGTATTTGACGAAGGAATTAATAATCTCAATCATCTGATGAAATTAAAAAACTAACAAGTCTTGTCTAATTTATGATTTTAAATCAAAATAAAAGTACGTATTACATATTCTGAAACTATATTTCTGTTAAGTAAATGGATAATAATTATATGATTTCAATGTGTTATTAGAAGTAAAATGAAATATTTATGTATCGTCTGCTAAAGCAAACACCTTTTAAATACTCCGATGTCAAACCAAAAACGGTTTCCATATGATAATGTTTCTCGTTGTAGTTATTGAACAGAGAATTTTACTCAAAAACAATTGAATATGCTTGATAGTTACTTTCATTATTTTTATTTTCACAAAAAAATGCTAATAAAGCGATTGTGAAATATATTCACAATTTGTAGAATGATAATTCTGCAAAATTAAAGAATTTTATATTTAATCTTTTAAAAAGATCAGAGATTAAGAAATGAATTGATTTTTTCATTTGCTTTTACTCTAAGAAAAATATAAGCGAACTAACAATTCAATTTAAAAGATGAATGATATATTGAGTAGCACATTATAGTTTCGTTGGATATTATTGGCGTTTTATTTTATATGAATCTCTGAATAGATATCATCAATATACTTCTCTTGTAGTTTCTTTTAATAAATCAAAGAAATATTCGAACCTTAACTTCCTTTTCTCTAATATATCGATAATATGGTTCATGTTAACAATATGTGTAATAGTGTTTCTTCTTTCTCAATAAATTATAACATAAAATATGATCATAGTTAGGTTTACGTTTTCTCAATTACACTCAGTATATTTTTTTAAATTCATCAATCTAATGAAAATACAGTAGGAGAGAATAACAAAATACTTTTGAAAAGAGTCAATTTTGATTCTCTTCTTAACTCACCTAATTACACATGCGTCACTTTCACTGACTCTACATATATACAAGGGATTACACGATTTACTTTTCGCGGA